AAAGAAAATTATTTGCTGTATTGTAGATGTGCACTGTAATTTCCATGTTAAAGAGGCACTGCATTTTTAAGAAATAAAATCACACATCTTATTTTTTCATTTCTAAATGGATATTGAACTAAGCTCTGTAGGCAAACTTAGCTGCCTATTTTTCCAAATATGTCCAGAAGCACATCTGAAACATCAAACTGATTATCAGACAATAAAGTGCCTAATACTTTATTAAATAAAGGGGGACAAGATGATAGTGCAGATATCCTAGAAATATGCTTTAGAAGACACAGAAACATTGTTAAGTTGAATTTCATTAGTATCATGCAAATGTTCCCTTCCACCACCGACTATTAATGTGAAAAATGATATATAGCTAGCGTTTTTTAAAATATCAAATTCTCATTATCATGTTTTAGCCCCCCAAAATTACATTTTAGACTCTTACTTTCTCTCCCTCTCCCCTTTCTTTAGCTCTTGTTTTTGTCTTGCCAGAGAAGTGTAGCTAGTAAGGGAATGTTTCTTATTTGTGCCAAGGGACCATTGATGATGCTGTATAATGGCAAGATAGTATTTTGTAATAACTGCTTTTTTATATTTCTAATACAAATGAGCAAAGCTGTGAAACCAATTTACTAGGTTTTTCTGCTTTGAACATTATTGTACATGTTAATTCTTTCTAAACAGTGCCTGGCACATATTGCTTGCTATGAAAGTGTTAGCTGCTACTGCTACCATTTATTATTATTATTATTAAATATCCATTGGTTGAAAACCAAGTAGTCAGCTAAATCATACCTGCTACTGTACAAAATGTTGGGGAAAAGCTCAGAAAAATCATTTATCAAAAAACAGTTTTGAGAACAAGAATTTATACTTTGGATATTTTAAAATTATTAAATGTTATTGAAACTTTATGCACCAAAACTGTATGAAATAATTTTGCAGAGTTGTGTTTCTATATTCTATGTAATTAAAGCTATTTTTATACTATATTGATAGTTTTAAATAAAACTGATTTGGAGGTTTGTTTGCAGTTGTATTGCCTTTTCATGCATTCATCCAACATGTATTTATTGCATATCTACCCTGTGCCAAGCGCTGATCTGGATGCAGAGGCTATAGCAATGAATAAAAGAGCTAAAAATTCCTGCCCTCGTGGAATTTATGTTCCAATGGGAGAGGCATACCACAGACAAGATAAGTAAGTAAAATATGTAAATGCTAAAAGAAAAAATCATGAAGCAAGAGAAGGGGATATAAGATGTGGCAGACAGGGTGACCAAGGAAAGGGTTGCTGAGGTGACTGCAGACCTGAAGTGAGGAAACTAATCATGCTGATTTCTCTGGAGAGCAAAGTGAACAGAACAAAGGTCCAGAGACTACACTTTTAATATTAACATAAATCACTAGAATTTTTTTTCCTTCCCTTACCAGTAAGTAAAATCAATGCAGTAAATTACTCATTTTCAGCTCCGACCTATTGAAGAGTTGATTTAGTGCTCTTAACAAGGTTAAAAAGCTATTGGGCACAGTGGCTTACTACTGTAATCCCAGAACTTTGAAAGGCTGAGGCGGAAGGAATGCTTGAGTCCATGAGTTCAAGACAAGCTTGGGTTTGTCTTGATAGGGAGACCCCATCTCCACAAAAAATTTTAAAAATTAGCTGGATATGGTGGTCTTTGCCTGTAGTCCTAGCTACTTGGGAAGCTGAGGTGGGAGAATCACATGAGCCCAGGACTTCAAAGCTTCAGTGTGCCATGATCTTGCCATTGCACTCCAGTCTGGGTGCAGAGTGAGACCCCGTCTCAACAAAAAGTTTTTTAAAAGGTTACAAAGCTACATTTCTAAGTTGATACTTTCACTTTTGTCTGTCTTCTACCGATGAATACATGTCAGAAATAAGTTTGATATCATAAAGGAATATGATATAAACATTGGCAACTATCAAATCAAATGTTAGAGGAGGGTAGAAAGAGAAAATTGCCCTGGGGAGCCGCAGAACACTTCCTTTCTGTCCTCGGAGATGGTTCCTTTGACCTTTCTTGGCATCTTAAAAAGACACTCTTACCTGTAGTGATTCAAGTAATTTCCCCCTTAAATTTCTCCCTATGTGCCTGATAATGCTTCAAATTCCCTTGAAGGAGAATGAAACCTTTCATTTTTCAGATGTTTGCTAATAAAAAGCCAATTGTTTATTGAATTTACAATGAATTTGACAAAGGATTTTGAAGTCAATGCAATGGAAAGACTTTGTTTTGTTTAAGCCTAGGAATTAATTAATGCTTTAGACACATTAATCTGGCTGCTGCGTGTGAAAGAGAGAAACAGAGATTTGAGTTGAAAAACCCAGTTAAGAGCTGAATAAGCCGGTCGGGTGCGGTAGCTCACGCCTGTAATCCCAGCATTTTGGGAGGCCAAGGCGGGTGGATCACTTGAGGTCAGGAGTTTGAGACAAGCTTGGTCAACATGGTGAAACCCTGTCTCCACTAAAAATACAAAACTTAGCTGGGTGTTATGGTAGATGCCTATAATCCCAGCTATTTGGGAGGCGGAGGCAGGAGAATTGCTTGAAACCCGGGTTTCAGTGAGCCAATATTGCACCACTGAATTCCAGCCTGGGCAACAGAGCGAGACTCTGTCTCAAAAAAAAGTTGAATAAGCCACCATGGAAAGGAAGTAGCACCAAACATATATCAGTAGGACTTGCCAATTGATTTTATGTGAGGTAATCAAAATATTGACAACATTCCTGGTCTGGAATCCTGACCTAAATGGTTTTTTACTAGTGACAAGTACTAGTAGAAGGGTTATAACACACTTAAGACAAAGGAAAAATTAGAACCTAACATTCAAAAAAAGCTAAAAACTCATCTCACATTTTATAGACGTGTTGTAAGGCTCTGCAGGTCCTACAGAGTAAGAGGTGATAAGATGGGATCTCCATTTATTTAAAACCACCAAACAAGCTGTAAAAAGGGATATATTAAATGTTATTATAGAAGGATCTCCACGATATATTAAGTGAAAAAAGTGAGGTGGAAGAAAAAGACAAATGTTATGTACAGGCTAGATGTACCTCTACTGAGTATTTTTGCCAAAAGAAGTCAAACCTGAATCTGCCAACCGCCTCTAAATGAGTTCTCAAAGTGCAGTGTGGAAAACCCCTCTGTGTCACGGAGACAGGAACACCGTGAGGTCAAAGGTATTTTCTTAAACGATACTATTATTTGCCTTTTTCACTTTCATTCTGTCCTGAATAAACTGGAGTTTTCAGTGGCTACATATGTGATATTGCAACAGACTGAATGCAAAAGCAGTAATGTGAATCTAGCTGCCTTTTATTAAGCCAGACATTAGAGATTCAAAAATATAAAACAATACTATTTTTCTACTACATTTTTTATTTAAAAGTCTTACTTATACTATCCTGTAATGGATTATTTTTATTTTAAATGAATTAAATGTTTTTAAATTGTGTTTTAATTTCTGAGTGGTAAATGCCAATATACATAACAAAAACAGAAGGTTCATTGTGTCTTCAATAATTTTTTTTAAGAGACAGGGCCCTGCTCTGTTGCCCAGGCTGGAGTGCAGTGGTGAGATCATAGCTCACGCAGCCTCCAACTCCTGAGATCAAGCAATCCTCCTGTCTCAGCCTCCTGAGTAGCTATACTTAGGACTACAGGCTTGTGCAGCCATGCCCAGGTTTTTTTTTTTTGTTTTTTTTTTTTTTTTTGTAAAGGAGGGGTCTCACTATGTTTCCCAGGCTGGACTTGGCCCAAAGTTTTGGGATTACTGGTACCTGGCCTTCAATAATTTTTCAGTGAATAAAGAGGGGTCCCACAGTCGAAAAGTTTGTGAACTACTCTTCTAGATAGGTCATTGGCCCTCAACCCTAGAATTAGAATTACTTCAAACATTAGAATTACCTGGAGAATTTAAATACTGATGCCAGGCCTCACTTCTAGACGTCCTGATTTAATGGGCAGGGCCTAATCCCAAGCATCAATTTGAAAAACAAAACAAAACACCACTCATCCCTTTGAACGTGCAGTCTGGATTGAGAACCACTGCTCTGGATATTATCAATTTAAATACAATATGAAAAAGAAGAACATGTATTATGCTATGGGGGCACAATCAGCAAAACGACACAGAAAGTGACTAGACAAAGGATCCCTGCTTAATTAAAGGAACGGATTAAAGCAATTTCCAAGAGAATTTGAAGGATTAACAGGCACATAGGGAGAAATTTAAGGGGAACATTACTTGAATCACACTACAAATAAGACTGTCTTTTTTAAGATGCCAAGAAAGGTCAAAGGAACCATCTCTGGTCAAAGAGAACATAACGGATTAAAGTGATTAAGAAAATGAAGGGGATAATACTGGTAATTAAACTAAATTCTGGCCGGTGGCTCACGCCTGTAATCCCAGCACTTTGGGAGGCGGAGGCGGGTGGCTTACAAGGTCAGGAGATTGAGACCAGCCTGGCTAACAAGGTGAAACCCCGTCTCTACTAAAAATACAAAATAATTAGCCTGGTGTGGTGGCGGGTGCCTGTAGTCCCACCTACTCTGGAGGCTGAGCCAGGAGAATGGCAAGAACCCGGCAGGAGGAGGTTGCAGTGAGCCGAGATGGCGCCACTGCACTCCAGCCTGGGTGACTATGTCTCCAAAAAAAATAAACAAATAAAAAATAAAAATAAAAAACTAAATTCTGTTAATCTCACACCGCTGGTTGACTGCTCTGGCCTAGTCTCAGCTACTAAATTTCTTCATACAGAACTGGCTCTCCTGGGTCCCTCCACTCACTTTTCCTGCTCGGTGCTCACGGCCTCCAGACCCCTCCCTCATCAGAAAGCCCAGGTTCCGCTAGTAAAAGTGCGCAGGCGTCACCGCGCATCCAGAAGCCACGTGTCAGGAGTCACGTGTCAGGTGCCACGTGTCAGGAGCCTAGTGGCTGGAGGCCGTTGGAGCGCCTGCGCAGCTTTTCCGAACGCCCCACGCCGGCGCGCAGCTCTCCCAGCGTCCCAAGAGCCACTTTCTCGCCAGGACGATGCTACAGCGGTTTTCAGCTTCCCTTCATCGTCGCTCCCACACTCATTTTTAGCCACTGCTGCCGGTTTTTATATCCTTCTCCATCATGCATCGTGAGCCTCCAAAGAAGAAGGCAGAAAAGCGGCTGTTTGACGCCTCGTCTTTCGGGAAGGACCTTCTGGCCGGTGGAGTCGCGGCAGCTGTGTCCAAGACAGCGGTGGCGCCCATCGAGCGGGTGAAGCTGCTGCTGCAAGTGCAGGCGTCGTCGAAGCAGATCAGCCCGGAGGCGCGGTACAAAGGCATGGTGGACTGCCTGGTACGGATTCCTCGCGAGCAGGGTGCGTAAAGGCAGGCCGCCCCGTCAGCCTCTCCCGGCGCCCCCATCGGCTTCCCAGAGAAGAGGGGTGGCTGGGAGGGGCACGATTGTGGGCCCCACAACCATGGTTACAGCTGTCGGTAATGAATTTGCTTCTTACCCTTCCAGAATTTAGTTTCTGAACCTAACAGGCTCTGTTTTTCCAGGGCTGCCTTGGTCCTGACCAAGTCCTGGTACAGGGGAAACCACTGTCTTATCTTTATCTAATCTGCTGCAGCGCGATTTACACCTTGGTGCACCTGTACCAGGTCCAAAAGGAAAGTGGTTGACCTCCCAGGATTGAGGGAGATGCCCTTAGGCACTCTGCTATAACTAGTGTTGTAAGTTGCTTAAATATTTGTTGGTATAATCACCCCACTATGCTCCAGAGTTGGCAACAGAGCGAGACCTTGTCTCAAAAACTGTATGTGTATTTGTTGAAATAGTACGTCTAAGAGAAGTACGAATATGGAAGCACTGGGGCCTCCCAGTACTCTGAAACCTGTTAGTGAAAAGAGGTTCTGCTTATTCTTGAACTACTGAAGACCAAGGAGGCACTTCGTTCTGCCCAAAATTCAAGGGGACGCTAAAACACACACACACACACGCACACACACACGCTAAAACACACACACAAACACACACACACACGCTAAAACACACACACACACAAACACACACGCTAAAACACACACACACACACACACACACACACACACACACACCCCCACCCTCTCAGTCATCAAGATAAAAAGTATTTTAAGGCCAGGTGCGGTGGCTCGCGCCTATAATCCTAGCACTTTGGAAAGCTCAAGAGTTCTAGACGAGCCTGGCTAACATGTTGAAACCCCATCTCTACTAAATATACAAAAATTAGCCGGGCATGGTGGCGCACGCCTGTAGTCCCAACTACTTGGGGGACACGATGCGGGGGTTTCAGGGAGCCCAGATGGCGCCACCTCACTCCAGACTGGATGACGGAGTGAGACCCTGTCTCAAAAAAACAAAACTTTAGGGTCCTTCCCTTTCCGAAGCCCCTTTCTTTCACTAGAGAGAGAGCTGTTCTCTTTTCTCTTTATTTTGTCTGTTAAACCTCCACTCCTAAAAACAGGAAAAAAAAAAAATCTTTGAACTATTTTAATACAATCTTTTAAAAAATCAAGTCATGCAAAAAAAATTCATAACCAACACAATATATACAAGTTTAAAACAAAGATGGGATCAGTATTACCAGCTTTTCTTTTTGCATCAAGTGCTGTCCTTATTTAAAATTTCATTTTTGTTAATCATGAATTTTCTCTATTAATATTGTAATGATTTAAAGGAATAAATAACAAAAGTGCTTGTGAGCCATCGCTGCAAAATGGCTCCCAAGTTAGCTAAAGGGATAAGTTTATCAGATATTTTTTATAATCCACCCATATAGTTGGGTTTAATAGAAAAATCTGTATGATCTTTTAAAAAGAAATAGACCTATTTATTGTGTATCCTCAACAAGAAATGAAGTGGCTTCAACTCCAGCGCAGACCTTTCTTTTAGTCCTGTTCTAGGGCCAGATAATGTCCCATTCAAAAAAGCACCTTGTCCCTGGGAATGCTAGGGATGTGGTTACAACTCTTCCAGACCTGTGGCGTGGAGTATATGGGGTAAGGGGTAGAAACTTAATGCATCGTCTGGGAGCTAAGCTCGGATCTTTCATAGTTTGCCTCTCTTCACTCTTTCATTTAATTAAAGCAAGCTTCTCATTTTGCCTGAGATTTTTTCAGGAAAAGCAAGGAACCTGTCTCTTCTTCATTTATATTCTAAGACTTCTGAAGAGAAGTAGGGGCCTGTTATTGGCTTTTCTGCTTTAAATATTTTGTCAGGTAAAATGAAGTATTCTGATCAGTTAGGGCTGACTAGTGCTAATTTATTTTATATTTTAAATGTTTTTCACAATATTTAAACCTAAACATATTCAGTATGGCTCTTGTAAGTTCATGTCATTCTCAAATTTATCCTGGTCCCTGCTTTCTTTACCTTCCAAGATGAGAGCATCATTAAGTAGAACTTGAAGATGTTTTCTGTTATATATAAAGCTTTATGAAGGTACCATGGTGTATCCTATGCTAAGAGATCAGTAATTTACAACAAGGATACTATTGCCATCTAGAGGCAGTTTTGGAAACTTGTGGGGCAATTTTTTTTTATTTAGCACAAAGATAGAGGGTTATAATCGTACATTACAATGATATGAAAGGCAAGGGGCCAGGGATGTTAAACATCCTGCTGCTATATCCCAGCCAGTCATACACAGTGAAGATTTATCCTGCAACCTGAATGACTTTTAGATCTCCCCTTGCATATTCGTGTAGCAGTGAAACATGTTTATGATTCTCTAAGCCTAGAAATAACTTAACTCTGATTTACTTATAAACACACATTGTCTGGGGCATGGTTTTAGTATACACTGATTCCAGTAATGCAGCTACCATATAAGGAAGTAGAGGAAAGATTGTACTTTCTTCTCTTCAGAAGTTTACTAAGAGTTGTTCATGGTTGCAAAAACTCATGTCAGCAACTCTGCTTATAGTATTTGGTCATTTATATAGGTTGAGTATCCGAAAAGCGTGGGACCAAAAGTTTTGGATTTTTTTATTTTTTCAGATTTTAGAATATTCGCATTATATTTACCAGATGAGCATCCCTAATTTAAAATCCAAAATGCTCTAATAAGCATTTCCTGTGCCCATCATGTCAGTGCTCAAAAAGTTTCAGATTTTGGAGAATTTTGGATTTTTGGATTAGTGATGCTCAACCTGTGTCATCTGTATTTGTAGCTATTGAATCTATGATGATTGTATGTGTACTTGTACACGTACTTATTTGACATATTTCAAAATGTCAATATGCAGTTAATTACAAATGATTCTTTAAAAGTAGAAGCAAGCTTGACATATTTTGGTATGGTCATGACCTACCAACTTACTTATTTTAAAACATAAATTTCTTGCAATTTGCCTTCTCTTTCTTCTTTGAAAGTCAAGGCACATGCCCATCTCAAGTGTTCTGAAGATTGTTTTTATGTTTTCTCTAATTTTATTCACAACTTGTCCTTTCTTTAGGCAATGTAAAATGAGCTGGAGGAAGAGACATGAACTCAGAATTCACATATAGATGCTCTCTAGTTTCTTACCTTATCTCTGCTTTCTTTCCATTACAAGGATAGATCTCTGTATTCTTGCCTTGAGTATAGCTTTAAATATTGCTTTGAGTGTGTTTTGACACTTTTATAGGCTTTTCTTGGCTTATGAAAACTTCTGGATTTATCCTTATGTTATTCTTAAAGATTTATTATATTCTTTAATTGGTTCTATCACCTTCCAGCTTTGTATGTGTACTTCTATTTAATGCTGTTTAAACCTTTATTATGCAAATAATGCATAATTATTGTAGAAAATTAGCAAATACAAAGAAGCAAAAAAAAAATAACATTACTGCTAAAGTCACCATAGTTAACATTTTGGTTTTTCACTGAGCAAAATATGCATATGTAAATATATGTTTAATCAAAGAAACTGTCTTATTAGTATATTGTAAGTGTAGCCTTTTAAAGAACTGATCTTCTGGGTGTGGTGGCTCATGCCTGTAATCCCAGCACTTTGGGAGGCAGAGGTGGGCAGATCACTTGAGGCCAGGAGTTCAAGATCAGCCTGGCCGAGATGGTGAAACCCCATCTCTACTAAAAATACAAAAATTAGCTGGGCATGGTGGCGCATACCTGTAGTCCCAGTTACCTGGGAAGCTGAAGCACAAGAATCACTTGAACCTGGGAGGCACAGGCTTCAGTGAGCCAAGACTGTGCCACTGCACTCCAGCCTGGGTGACAGAGCAAGACTGTCTCAAAAAAAAAAAAAAAAAAGATCCATACAGTCTCATTGTTACAAGCCTATCAGAAGTCTTCTCTTTTAGGAGCTCATGTCATGAGTTTATCAGCTTTCATCTAAGCGTTTCCCAAACCCATTTTTCTGAAGACTTAGAACAGTGAGTTTTTTTAATATCCTATGGTCCATCTTGAAGATGCTATTTTGGAGTATGGGAAGAAAATACTAGGTATTTTACTTATATGTACTTTAAGTAAAATACAAAATAAATTTTACTGATATTTAATATATAAATTGGCATTGTCACCTGTGCTTGGGCCCAATGTCAGTTACATATCACAGGACATTAAGGGATCCTGAAAAAACGAGTGGGAGTTATACAGGGTAGAGGGAATGACAAGCACCCTTCCTCAAGAATATATTATTGGTTATGTTTGCCCAATTAAGTGAATTTATAGATTCTGTTATCAGGTTTTAACTAAATCCTCAAAACATGGACAAAACTTTGAAAAAGATTCTGCCATGAAAACCAAACCAAGGATAACACCAGTATCAAATGATGAACCACAAGAAAAAGACATAGCTGATGCCATTTACTCCAAGCAATGGCACTGATGCCATTTACTCCAAGAAATGGCATATTATTTCATCATTCAGATTATATTCAGTGTAGAAACAATGACAGTCTAATTGGACCTGAGACAAGAAGACTCTTTGAAATATAGATTCCTATATACTGTTCTTAAAAATGAACCTCACCCTAGCAGTGCCTTGAGATAATAGCAAATGATGGTGTGAAAACATCATAATTAGCAAGATATTTGAAAATATTGTTTTTCATCTTTTAAATAAATATTTAACTTTGCTCTAGTATCATCTAACATTCAAGTTTCCCTTACAACGCTATCGAAATAGCCTTTTATTATTTCCAATCTTCATATATTGTTTTTTTCTTTACAGTTTTTTATTGCTAACAGACATAGTTATTTGCTACCTATCTTCCTGGTCCCTCCCTCTTAAGATGTAAGCTCCGTAAGATCAGGAACATTGTTCCTAGTGCTATCTCCAGCAGGCACAAAATGTCTGCTGTGGAGGAGGTACCAAATAAAAGTTTTTAAAT